CGGGGGAGCGGGAGAGCGGGAGAGCGGAAGAGCGGGAGAGCGGGAGAGCGGGAGAGCGGGAGAACGGGAGAGCGGGAGAGCGGGAAAGCGGGAGAGCGGGAGAGCGGGGGAGCGGGAGAGCGGGAGAGCGGGAGAGCGGGAGAGCGGGAGAGTGGGGGAGCGGGAGAGCGGGAGAGCGGGAGAGCGGGAGAGCGGGAGAGCGGAAGAGCGAGAGAGCGGAGCATGCGGGATTTGCTTCATAGCAGGGCGGCCGCGGCCCCATGAAGAGAATCCCGCATGCTCCCCAGGAGCATGCGGGATTTGCTTCATAGGGGAGAGGCCGCGGCCCCATGAAGCGAATCCCGCATGCTCGGGGGGAGCATGCGGGATTTGCTTCATAACTCTCCCGCTCTCCCGCTCTCCCGCTCTCCCGCTCTCCCGCTCTCCCACTCTCCCGCTCTCCCGCTCTCCCGCTCTCCCGCTCTCCCGCTCTCCCGCTCTCCCGCTCTCTCGCTCTCCCGCTCTCCCGCTCTCCAGCTCCTCAACCCTCCCGCCTTCATGCTCCCTCGATTGTCTCCGAAAGCAAAGCTGCGTGCAATTACATCCGAAAGATTAACAGACGAGCGAGATGCCGCAAAGAGGCGTGAGGTAGATCATAGGGGGGGGGCGACCATATATATATATATATATATATATATATATATATGTAGATATGTCTATATTATTACCAGTAAGGAAAATATTAATAGTGTTATTAATAGTAGTAGTGGTACTACGACTAAATATAAGGATAATATTAATAGTAATGGTGATGATCATAATACTGCGAATAACAGGAGTAGTAGTAGTGGTAGTAGTAATACTATGGATTTTAATGTTACTACTAATACAAATACGAATAATCATAGTAATAGTAATAGTAATAATAATAGTAATAATAATATTAATAATAATACTAATAATGATTATAGTAATAATAATAATAGTCATAGTAATACTAATACAAAAACAGAAGGCGTGGGCTCCATAGGGAGGGGGCTCCTGCTTGAGACTTCCTCGCGATGCACTCACATACAAGCCTCCCGCCTGATACTTCCTCCATATTCAGGCCTCACGGGCCCAAAAAATAGTACAGTTGCAGGAGGCCGATGACCCGCTCGGATTCCTCATATGAGCTGCGGGCCCTATAGGGTGGGGGCTCCCGCCTGAAACTTCCTCGCAATTCACTCACAGGCGAGGCTCCCGCCTTCTACTCCCTCCAGGTTCATGCTCCAGGGGCTCGAAGGTGATTACAGTTGCAGGAGGCCGACGACACGCTCGGATTACTCACATGAGCTGCGGGCCCCATAGAGGAGGGGGCTCCTGCCTGAAACTTCCTCGCGACGCACTCACATACGAGGTTCCCGCCTGATACGTCCTCAAAATGAATGTGTGCGCGTGTGAGTGATGATGTGATGATGATGCTGTGAGTGATGATGTCGATGTGAGTGGTGATGGTGCTTGTGTTGTGAATGGTGATGATGATGATGATGATGATGATGATGATGATGATGATGATGATGATGATGATGATGATGATGATCATGATCATGATCATGATGATGACGAGGTGAGTGATGATGATGATGATGATGATGATGGTGATGCTGATGAGGGTGGTGGTGCTGATGTTGTGAGTGATGGAGTTAATGATGATGAGAATGCTGTAGTGAATGCTGATGAGGAGGTTGATGGTGATGGTGTGCGACTCATTGAGTGAAAGGGTAATCGAGGGAGAAGAGTTCATGACGTCAGTATCGACTCATTGAGTGAGTGAGTGAGTGAAGACGATGATCATGATGCTGACGATTATGTATGCGAGTTGTTGGGTGGTAGGTTGTGAGTGAGCGTGTGAGTAGAGGAGTGCTGATGCTGAGTAAATGTGAGTGTGTGAGCGAATGCGTGAGTGTGTAAGTGGTGGTGATGTGGTGATGACGATGCTGATGTGAGTGATTGTGTGTGTGTGTGCGTGTGTGAGTGAGTGAGTGTGTACGTGGCGAGTGAGCGAGTGAGAAGAGAGGGTGTGTTCCTGTTCCCGTGTTCTGCGCGGGGGTCCAGAGAAAACAAGAGCCCCATTGCGGATGTGGGGAACAGCAAGAAACCGATTCTGGACGTGGGGAAACATAAGATTATGAATCATAGTCAAAGTATAAGTATCGGTAACACTAATAGTAGCACCCCTAACTACAACAATCATATTGTTAATACTGCGAATAAAAATAATATTGCGAATGCTTGCATCTGTATTATTCTTTGTATTACTAGTATTAGTACTAAGATTGAGAAGTGGGCGAATAAGAGGAGGGGGAGGAGGAGGTGGATGAGGGAGTTCGATGGGGAGGGAGGAGAGGGGAGGAAGGGAGTGAGGAGTCTGATGCGCTCCGCCGCGCGTCACGCCGCCACGCCAGACAGCCGAGCCCCCTCCCCGCCACCATCAGGACTTCGAGGAATCTTCCGTTGACAGGGCCTCCAGGTAATCTCCAGAGTTTCCAGCCCCCCTTTGTGCGTGGTTGAGGTCCCCAGCCCCCCATGGAGGCATCGACTCCGTGACTTCGAGCCCGAGGCCATCGAAAAAACCCATTCCCCCGACAGGCATCGATCTCGATTTGCGGGCCCAGCCCCCGCAAGTCTAGACCCGCCCAACCCCCGCCCGCGCTTCGCCGGCCCGTCCGTTCCCCCGTCCTCGTTCTCGTCTTCCTTGGCCTCGTGCTCCTCCCTCGTCCTGCTGCTGCTGCTGCTGCTCCTCCTCCTTCTCCTGCTTCTCTTCCTCCTCCTCCTCTCTTCTTGCTCGTGCTCGTGCTCCTCCTCCCTCCTGCTCCCTCGCCTTCCTCATCCTCCCTCGCCGTCCTCGTCATCATCGTCGTCGCCTCCTCCTTCTCCTTCTCCTCCTCCTCCCCTCCTCCAGTCGTTTTCCTTAACAATTCCTCCCTGTCGCACCCCGAGGCCAGTCGGAAGGGCGGGCCGGACGTTTCCCCTGATATTCCCTCCCCGTTAAGAATCTTGAAGATTGAAAGTTGGTAACTGTGTCATAGATGGAGGGCGGGCGGTTTTCAAAATGTGGCCCTTGCCCTAGCGCCGTGCGCATTCGTCTTAAGAAATTGCCAGTGTTTCGCATATTGAGGGCGGGTGGTTTTCAACATGTGGCTCTCGCCTGAGCGCCGTGCACATTCAGGTTCGAAATTGCAGGCGTTTCACGGATTGAGGACGATGATTTTTTGAAAGTTGTTATCGCCTTAGCGCCGCGCACACTCGTTCTAGACATTTGCAAGGGCTTAACACATTGTAGTGGCCTCCAGCCAGTGCCGCCGATCCGGGACGCTCCGGATGATGATGATGATGATGATGATGATGATGATGATGATGATGATGATGATGATGATGATGATTATGATGATTATGATGATGATGATGACGATGATGATGATGATCGTGATGATGATGATGATGGTGATGATGATGCTGATGATGATGATTATGATGATGCTGATGCTGATGATGATGATGATGATGGTGATAGTGATGATGATGATGATGCTGATGATGCTGATGATGACCATGATAATGATAATGATGATGTTGATGATGATGATGATGATGATGACGATGATGACGATGATGATGATGATGATGATGATGATGATGATGATGATGATGATGATGATGATGATGATGATGATGACGGTGATGACGGTGATGTGACGATGGTGATGGTGATGGTGATGTAGATGGCGATGATCCCGGCCCCCCCTCACCACCTCCCCTCCTCTCTCCTGTCCCCCTCCCCCTCTCTCCTATCCCCCCCCCTTCTCTCTCCTTTCCCTCCCCCCCCTCTCTCTCCTGTTCCCCCCCCCCCCTCTCTCCTGTCCACCCCTCCCCCCTCTCCCCCCCCTCTCTCCTGTCTCCTCCCTCCCCCCTCTCTCCTGCCCCCCCCCCTCTCTCCTGTCCCCCCCCCTCTCCTTTCGTGTGTGGGGAGTGCCTCCGAAGCTGCGCCTGGCCAAACCGCCAGGTGACCGGAAAACGGTCCCGCCAATGCTGATCGAATTTCCGCCCCGCGTCGGGGTTCCCACAGCTTGCGTCGATTGCTATTCGTTGATTCTGCGGCCGGTCGGCCGCCCCGGCCGGCGACCGTTTAGATTGCCACTGGAAGCTTGGATTTGGAGCGAGGGGCCCAAGAATGGCTCCCAGGAGTGCCGCGCGCCGCAGGGTGCACGTGAGGAAAAGATCGCGTTTCAGATGCATCCTGGTTTCTGTTGTATTGTGCGGTGCGTGAGGCATGGCATGGCATAGCAGTGCGCTGCACTGGCATGCACAATAGTAATTCGGTTCAGGATCTGATGCCGAATGTTTGGTGCAGTCTGTCGGCACCAATTCGCTTCAGAAGCGCGGGGAGCGTGGCAACACCATCCCCGCGCCAGCTATATGCTTGTACTGTTTGGCTCAAGGCTCGACGTCCGAGCGAGGAAAAACATGCCCGAGAAGAGGAGCAACGCAGCGCGGCAAGGCCGTTTGCTCCGCCGCCTCTCCCGTACTTGTGACACCCTCCTCAGGCTTAGGCTTCATCTCCCGATAGACGATACTCTTCAGCATACTCTTCCCATACCTCCTTCCAGAGCCCAGGAAATCCTTTGTCTTATAGTGCAGGGAGTGAACATCGAAGAACTGGCACAGGAAGAAGAACAATTAATGAACATATGATGTATTCTGCGCACCCGTTCGTGGACCAGCACCCGCTGATGTCCACAAGGGTTATGAGCCCAACCGAACCTTCGGCTTCCTTCCCAGCATCCTCTTCGACGACCACCTGGACGCCTTCATCGGCATGTGCTGCAGGATCGGGCACGTGGATTATCCGAACGTGCCACGCGTGCGCCGACGTGATGACCGGGCCCACTGTCACGTGCTCGGCGTGCCACGCGCCCGTGCACAGCCACTGCGTGGTGAGGCGCATGGGCTGCATGGTGTGCGCGAGCTGCGCCAACGAGATGGACTTCGCCTTCGCGAACCATCAGGCGCAGCAGAGGATGGCGATGAGCTCCGCGGGCTTCGGGCGCTTCATGAGTGGCGGCGGCCAGTATGCGGGGCAGGCTATCGGCGCGGTAGCCACCGGGGCCGTGGGAGGAGCGGCCAGGCTGGTGACAGGCTGCGCCTCGGGTGCCGTCTCGGCGATCCGGGGCATGCGCGCGGTGGAGCTGCCGAGCGCGCCCGCGCCGCAGCGCCCGCGCGTCCTCGAGCAGTTCGATATCTCGGACGCGGGTTCGGGCAGCGGCGTGCCGACCGAGATGGTGGACGTGATGGCCGAGTTTAGCCGGATGCGCGCGGAGATGGAGGCTCTGAGGGAGGAGAACGCGAGGCTCCGAGGAGGGAGTGCAGCGTCAGCCCAAGGCGGGTACGCGACGCCGTCATCGCCTGAGCGACTGGCGGAGGAGATCGCCGAGGCCCAAGACGAGGGCATCGATGCCGTCTACGGCGTGGATTGGTCTCTGGCGGGTGGGCCTGCCGCGAGCGGTGCTGGGGACAGTGCCGCCGAGACTCACGAGGTGAGGGCCGCGAGCGCGCCGGCCAACACGAGTCCCGAGCACGTCGAGGAGTTTTCCGTGCAGGCTGCGGCGCCGACGAGCGCCACGCAGCAGGAGCAACCGCCAGGACTCGGCGCAGCTGCTCAAGCCGGCACCGCGCCTGCAGGACATCCAGGAGGTGGTCATCCTCATGGCGGTGGTGTACCTGGAGGCGCTGGGCCACCTGGAGGAGGCTTCGGGGGTTTTCCTGGAGGTGCCCCACATGGTGGTGGTGAATTCGGAGGACATGGATTGGGCCATGCAGGTGGGTATCCTCATTGAGTCGGCGGCGGTGGCTTCGGACTACCAGGTGGACCTGGTGGCGGAGGTGGGCCTGGCGGATCTGGAGGAGCCTTTCCAGGAGGTGGCGGGCCCAATCGTCCTGGCGGATTTGGTGGCCAGCCTGGAGGCGGAGGACCACCACCACCGCCGCCTCCGCCGCCATATGGCGCTGCTTCTGCGGCGGCAGGCGGGCCGCAGCGCGATGTGTCGCTCGAGAGCACGCTCGCGAAGTTGAGGGCGGCCGACTTGCCGCATTTGGAAGGGCAGCCCGGCCGCTAAGCCGGGAATACTAGAGCATTGGATCCAGAGGGCGTCGCTCGACACCGGGGGGATGCACCACCTCGTCGAACGCTACTGGTCGCAGGTGCTGGGCGTGGTGGTGGAGACATACGAGACGTAGTTGCGTCATGGGCCCCTGGACCGCCCCGCGATCAGGCCCATGCAGCCTGCGCAGTTCCCCCTCAATGAGGCCGACGCGGTGAATTTCCACAGCGTGGAGTTGCGACTCCGGGGCCTGCTACTCGCCCTCAAGCCTGAGGACGTCAAGCAGGCGTGCCTGAGCACGAGGCAGACGAGCACCACCGATATTTTATTCAGTGCGTATGTGTCAGCTGGCCCCGGCACGGGCCCTGACAAGGACCGCACTTTGCAGCAAGTGTCCAAGGGGAGGCACGTCGACGTGAAGGCGACCTACGACGAGCTGCAGCGCTGAGGCGTCGCGGCTCCCGACCCCAGCGTGCAACTGTCGTCCTTGAAGGCGATCGCGCACAAGATGTTGGAGTCCAACGAGGAGGTGAGGCACCGCTACTTCGGCTTCCTCGTGACTCGTGGTCTCAGCGGCGGGGTGGCGAACCGGGCCCAGGTTGGCGAGCTCTGGCGTTATCTCAGCGCGGAGGCGAGGGAGTTCGCGGACGCGGTGCCCCAGAAGGACGACCCTGCCGCGAGGCTCGCGATGGAGCGGCATACGAGAGGGGACCCTAAGGGGAATCCGAAGGGAGGCAAAGGCGACCCGAAGGGAGGAGACCCCAAGAGAACAGCCAAGGGCCAGCCCAAGGCGAAGGCGAAGGAGAAGGCCGAGGCGGGCAAGAACGGGAAGCTGCAAGACGTGAGGCTCTGCACCTTCTTCAGCGCGCCGGGGGGCTGCAGCAAGGGCAAGCAGTGCACTTGGTACCACCCGAAGCTCAGCCCTTCCGACGGCCGTTGTTTCAACTGCGGCTCCACTCAGCATCGAAGTGCTGACTGCGCCCCGCCGAGGGGGGCAGATGCGGCTGCTGCTGGCGCACTGGCTGCTTCAGCTGCCCGTGCGACGTCGTTGTCTGCAGTTCCTCCTCAGTCGGCTGCTTCGGCGTCTGCGAAGACGGCGGCGGCCACCTTGACGGCTGCCGGCGTTCGCGCCGAGGTCCGCAACGAGCTGCCTGGCTTGATGCAGATGGGCTCTGGGACTCCTGCTGGCCAGGCGGATGCCGGATTCTGGAGCGCCAACGACCCGAAGGCTAAAGTGGTGAACATCAAGGCCAAGATGATGATCGTGAACGGGGAGCGGTACCTCCTGGCGGACACGGGCGCCACGCGCGAGCTGAAGGGCGCCAAGGATTTCGACGACCTCGGCGACGACGCGCGGACGGTGCAGCTGGAGACGGCCACGGGCTCGCATAATGCGCGCATGGTCGGCGACACAGTTTTCGCATTAGGGGAACGCTTACAGGGATTATTCCCACTTGCGTCGTACGTGGAGACCATGGGGCTGGAGATGGAGTGGAACCCTCGGCGGTGCGGCGCGCATGTAGGAAACGATTTCGTCGACCTCCGCCGGGAGAACGGCAGCATCTACATCAGCGAGAAGAACGCAGAGATTCTTCGAGCGGCTCGCCGAGCCCACTTTCGATGGCGGCTTTGGCGACGAGCCTCAGGACTTTGACGAAGCTCCGCGAGCGCCAGGAGGGCGGACGCATTCACTTCGACGTGAGCTGCCCGCAGTGCCGCGGCGTTCGCGGCAGAATGCGTCAGCATTTCCGCCACGATGCCAGAGCGCGCCCAGGCGGGCAACTGAGCGTCGACCTGAGCGGGCCGCACCTTCCAGGACGCTGGCCATCGGGAAGGGCCGAGGACACGGGCAGGATGGCGCAGCACTTCCTCTTAGGGGCGTTCTCGGTGGTGACTGCGGCCGACATGCAGGAGCGAGCTCGTCGTGAAGGAGAGGCTCGCGAGGCAGCCGGAGTGCCCGATGATGCGCCCGAGATGGGCGCCATAGGTGTTTCTGTGGATGGCGATGTCGGGCAACTGGCTGCTCGAGTCGCTGCCGCATTTGAGGTGGCGGAGCTCGGTGAGCTGCGCCTCAGAAGCGACCGCCTGGGCCTGATGGCGGCGAAACGCGCGCATGTGCCCAGCCACCCCCAGGGCGAGGAGGGGCCTGCGGAGGCCAAGGTCGCGCCAGAGATCGCTGGGGCCGACTCGGAGCCAGCCAAGACGTGGTACTTTGTTGTGCCCCTGGAGAACAAGCGCTTCGAGACGTGCAAGAAGGGTTTAGAACAGATTTTGGCCATGATTCGGTCCGAGTTCGAGGGCGCGAACGTGGCGCGCCGCATCCACGGCGACAGGGCGAGCGAGCTGACACGCACCAAGTCGAAGGAGCACTTTGCGAAGCAGGGCATCTTGGTCATCAGCACGCTGGGGTACGAGCCGAACAACAACCCCCGCGCCGAGAAGGGGGTCGGCCTCGTGAAGTTGAGGGCGAGGGCCTTGCTGCTGAGCTTCCCGGACCCCCGCGACAGGCAGGACCTCTGGCCCTTGGCGGTGCAGCACGCCGCCTGGTGCAGCAGGATGGCGGCCCAGGGGCGGAAGACGAACTGCCCTGCGTTCGGGGCCAAGGTCAGCTCTAGAGTGATGGACTTGCCCCACGACGTGATGAGCGAAAGGGCGGTGGACAGCATCTTCCTCGGCGTCGACCCCGAGAGCGCGTGGCTGGTTGGGCGAATCGACCCAAAGGCTTCTCGCCCCGAGGCGCGCTGGGCGATCGAGTCCTTGAGCTCATTCGCGATCCACCCGGAGGCGGCGGTGTTGCCGGTGGAACAGGAGAGCACGGCAGAGGAGCCAGGACCAGGATCGCGGTGGCGGAGGCCCCGGTGGACTCGGGGCTGGCGAGGCTCCGGGCGCCCATCGGCGAGGTGATGCCCAAGGACATCAGCTGCCCAGCGTGCAGGGGCCAGCATAGGAGCCATGCGCGGGGCGAGCACTGCCGGCTCGGCCCCCTTCTTCGGGACGACGGTGGTCAACGAGCTTTTGACCGTGGAGTTGGTGACTCCTATTCGTGCCCAGCGTGCCGAGGACGGCATGTGGCACACTCGCGTGACCATAGGTGCCGACTCTGGTCAGGCGGAGGAGGAGGACGTGCAGGAGGAGCTCATCGGGCAGGTCGTGCGTCGTCGTCGGCACGCCTTGCATCCAGATCGCATGGGTGGCCGACGGCTACTACCTCGACGTCTTCTAAAACCCCGGTGAGCCTCCTGATGCACCGCGACCGCATGAACAAGCATGTCCTATTCGCCGCCGCAGCCGGGGCCCTGGACGAGGAGGGGCAGGACGACGACGACGACGTTCTACCTATCTTCCGGGAGATCCAGCGTGAGAGCGGCATGGCGCTGACGTCGATGAGAACCCTCAACGCGGCCTTCGGCTCGGAGCGCGAGGAATGGCGCCAAGCCTTGGAGGCGGAGCTCATCTCCATGACGGACAACGAGATCTTCCGGAAGCCTTCGGCCGCAGAGTTGCGAGAAGTACGACCTCAAGACGTCCTCCCTATGAAAGTTGTAGCCGGGATTAAGGCTGCAGATTCAACTGGGTACCGGAGGAAGAAGGCGAGGGGCGTCGTGCGCGGCAACTTTGAGGGCGAGTCGGGCGAGCCGGTGTGCTGCAGCAACTTAAGACATTGCGTCGTTGAGGGCTGCATTGGCGGTGGCCTGCAAGAATGGCTGGAGCCTCGGGGCCATGGGCGTGTCGACCGCGTTCTTGAACGCAGATTTGCCCATGGGGCAGAAGCGTGTCGTCGTCAGGCCGCCTGCTGTTTTTGTCCGGTACGGCTTGGTTCCAGAGGGCTAGCTCTGGGTGGCGGAGAAGGCCATCTACGGCCTGAGGGTCAGCCCGAAGGCTTGGAGCGACAAGCGGGGCGCTGACGTGAAGTCGATCGTGGTGGATATCGGGGGCGAGCCGCACGTGCTGCGGCAATCGTCTGCTGATCCGGCGGTCTGGGCGGTGGTGCCGCAGCAGGGCGGCGACGTCGTTGGCTACGTGCTGGCGTACGTGGACGACTTCTTGATGATGGGGTCGGACTCCGCAGTGATAGCTCTGAGGGGCCAGCTGGGGAAGCTCTGGCGCGCGAGCTCGCAGCCGATCGTGAACAGGTCGGCCCCCGGCTCGCTCCGGTACCTGAGCATTGACAGCGAGCTCAGGGCCGACGGCACTCTGGCGCTCGGGCAGCGCCAGTGCACCGAGGAGCTGCTCGAGAAGTGGGGCATGCTGCATTGCAACGGGACGGGGGGCATCAACTTGGAGAAGGAGTCTTTCGAGCACTTCACGGCCACCTCCTCCAAGTACGATGGCGACGACGAGGAGGAGGCGCCCGAGGTGAAGCTGTCCGATGTTCGGTTGGCCCAGAAGATGGCCGGAGGCCTTCTGTGGCTGGCCTCCCGGACGCGCCCGGACATAGCGCACGCCGTGTCGCGGGTGGCTTCGATAGCAACCACCCGCCCGCTGACGAGCCTCTGTTTCGGCAAGAAGGTCTTGAGGTACTTGTCCAGCACGCGCCGCACGGGGCTCTACTACCTTCCCGGCGGCGGAGGCGTAGGCGGAGACGACCAGGGCGATGGTGGCGAGCCGGACCAGGAGGCCGCCTTCGTCCAGACATTCGCGGACGCTTCCCACGAGGACGCGGGAACCCAGACAGGGGTCGCTACGTATCTTGATGGTTGCCTGATCGATTGGAGGTCGGTCAGGCAACAATTAGTAGCTTTCTCCACTTGTGAAGCCGAGGTCAACGCACTTGCCGTGGGCGAGAGCATGCAATCGTCAGTTGTAGCGACTTGTGAGAGCATGCAGATCCGATGCTGTGCCGTTCTGTATGGAGATAACAGCGCCGCCAACCAGATTGCGACTGGCAGGGGGGCGTGGCGCACGCGAGCCCTCTCGACCAAAGTTAACGCGATTCGTTCGCGTGTCGAGCGAGGGCTTCTGACTCTCCAGTTCGTCGCCGCATCTTTTATGAAGGCCGACGGGCTGACGAAGTGCGGCGGAGCGCCGCGCGCGCAGCGCGCCAGAGGCCATTTTGGCCTGCGCCCGCTGTGAGCTTTGATGTTCGCAGGTTTTGCGAGCCTCTGGGGCCCCGCACCGCGCCGAGAAGCTTGTGTATTACATGTCGGCGCGAGGTGCGGGAGATCGCAGCAGCGCGCCGCGACTCCCGAGGAGGAGCGCGCGTGGGGAGTGCCTCCGAAGCTGCGCCTGGCCAAACCGCCAGGTGACCGGAAAACGGCCCCGCCAATGCTGATCGAATTTCCGCCCCGCGTCGGGGTTCCCACAGCTTGTTGCGTCGATCGCTATTCGTCGATTCTGCGGCCGGTCGGCCGCCCCGGCCGGCGACCGTTTAGATTGCCACTGGAAGCTTGGATTTGGAGCGAGGGGCCCAAGAATGGCTCCCAGGAGTGCCGCGCGCCGCAGGGTGCACGTGAGGAAAAGATCGCGTTTCAAATGCATCCTGGTTTCTGTTGTGTTGTGCGGTGCGTGACATGGCATGGCATAGCAGTGCGTTGCACTGGCATGCGCAATAGTAATTCGGTTCAGGATCTGATGCCGAATGTTTGGTGCAGTCTGTCGGCGCCAATTCGCTTCAGAAGCGCGGGGGGCGTGGCAACACCATCCCCGCGCCAGCTATATGCCTGTACTGTTTGGCTCAAGGCTCGACGTCCGAGCGAGGAAAAACATGCCCGAGAGGAGGGGCAACGAAGCGCGGCAACGCCGTTTGCTCCGCCGCCTCTCCCGTACTTGTGACACCCTCCTCAGGCTTAGGCTTCATCTCCCGATAGACGATACTCTTCAGCATACTCTTCCCGTGCCTCCTTCCAGAGCCCAGGAAATCCTTCGTCTTATAGTGCAGGGAGTGAACATCGAAGAACTGGCACAGGAAGAAGAACACTTAATGAACATATGATGTATTCTGCGCACCCGTTCGTGGACCAGCACCCGCTGATGTCCACAAGCCTTTCCCCCTCCCCCCCCTCTCCTGTCCCCCCCCCCCCCTCTCTCCTTTCCCCCACCTCCCCCCCTCTCTCCTGTCCACCCCCCTCCCTCCTCTCTCCTGTCCACCCCCCCCTTCTCTCCTTTCCCCCTCCCCCCCCCGCCCCCTCTCTCCTGTCCCCCCCCCCCCTCCTCTCTCCTGTCCCCCCCCCTTTCCCCGCCCCCCCCTCTCTCCTTTCCCCCCCCCCATCTCTCCTGTCCCCCCCACTCCCCCTCTCTCGTGCCCCCCCCCTTCTTTCCTTTCCCCCCCTCCCGTCGCGTGTCAATTCTTTCGTCGTTGCTCCCCCCCCCCCCTTGCAGACCGAAGCTTGAGCGAGCCCCCCCCCACTCTCTCCTTTCCCCCCCCCTCGCGTGTCAATTCTTTCGTCGGTTTTCGTCGTATGCGTCCCCCCCCCCCTCCAGAGCGAAGCTTGAGCGAGCTCAAGCCCACGCTCTCAGAAACTCACACGCCGGATCGGCGGATTCTCTGAATCAGCGTAGCAGGAACGGTGTGATGGAGCAGTTCAGGATTTCCAGGGCGCAACAGTCAAGTTGATCCGCGGTGTTGAAGTCCCAGGAGTGGTGTTCAGGCACGATTCAGGACCGTCAAGACGCAACAGTCAGGTTGATTCGTGGCGCTATAGCCCCGAGAGTGGTGAGTTGGCGCGCTTCAGGATCTTCAAACGGTTGTCTCCCAACGGGGCACTTCCCTCAATGGAAGCGAGTTCTTGTAAGGGCCCATGAAGAGGGAGCTTGGAGGGAGGGTTTATTCTAACATCGTTGATGCGTATTGGTTTTGCATTGGTCCTCCTCCTCCTCCTCCTCCTCCTCCTCCTCCTCCCCCTCCTCATTTGCATGTTCGGGAAACGCTCTTCTGGTACATCGGGATTCCCTGCCTCGGGGGCGGCAGCACCTCATCTTTGTACTGTATTGTCTGCTCCGTCGGGGTTTGCCCGAGGGCACGATAGGGTCCTCTCGTCTACGAGAGCCCGGAGTGCAAGAGTTCTGGCTTCGTTCTGCAAGAGCCAGCGCAGAGGATTCTTGAGCGATTGGGTGAGGGTGCCAGTTGTTCCGTTATTGCTCAGCGGGTGCCTCTAGCAAATTAGGATCAGGATCCTCCTCCTTCTCCATCTCCATCTCCTTTTTTTCTCCTCCTCCTCCTCCTCCGTCTCTTCCTCTCCTGGCAGCGTCATCGAGGAGGTGGCGACTTCGGCGGGGTGCTACCCGAGTCATGCCCTCTCGGGGCACGGCATCGGCGAGTACTTCCACGGCGCCCCCATCATCATTCACGGCGAGAACGACTTGCCCCAGGGCTGCATGGAGCCCGGCATGACGTTCACAGTGGAGCCCGTGCTCGTGGAGGGTGGCGAGACCGAGTTTGAGAAGGACGAGGACGTTGGAGCCTGCTGGGGGGCTGAGTTGGCCCAGCACTGGTTCCGACGAAGAGGGGGAGAAGAGGCCCCCTCGTCGCCAAGGCTGGACGCAGCTCGAAGAATTGCGGTCAGTTTTCCGAGGGCTGATTCTGAGCGACTTTGCCTTCGCCCCTCTGCTCTTGACTCGCTTTCTCGAGGCCCATTCAGCTCAGACCCCCTGGCCGCTTCCAACGAGGACGGGTGGACCCTGCGGACGCGCACGGGCGCACTGGGGGTGCAGTTCGAGCACACGGCGCCGAGCACCTGTCAGACAGACCTGGCTGGACCCGCCGGGTGGTCTGGTGGGCTTTTGTGCTCTTCTGCAGGCGTGGCGAAGCCCCAGGCCCCTTGTGGGGAGCCATGCCCTACGTGGGCGGAGGGTGGGTCGGGTGCCGTTTGCCGGGTAGCCATGGACCCAGGCCTCCGACGATGTGGTTCTTTCAATGCGCGCTCCCAGAGGGCCCAACCCCTCCCCCCCTGGTTCGTCTTCCACCTCAGATCTTGTTTTGGCGGCACCAGGGCCCAACAACGGGCCCTCAGAGGGCCGACAGAACCGGACTGAAGCATCTCCTATCGCTGGAGATTTGGGTGGACCCAGATCGACATCCGACGTCTTGATTTTTCAATTCGGGTCCCATGAAGTCCCGACGGCCGACTCTATCCCCACGGCCGGTTTGTTAGCCGAGTCGGCTTCGGACCGTCCCAGGGCCCTTCGAGGCCGGAAACGGCCCGAAGCCTCCCGCCGAGTTCTTTTTCGCGACGCGGGCACTTCTGCTGGTGACCACCTCTGATTCTGGGAATGCAGGTGCTGGTCACGGAGGACGGCCACGAGCTCCTCACCGGGCCCTGCGTGGACTACGAGCAGGTCGCCGCCGAGCGGTGGCCGCCGGCCGCGCCGCCCGCGGCCGCGGCGCCCGCGGCCGAGCCGCCGTCGCCGTGGCCGTGGTGAGGCGGCCGTGGCCGCAGGCTGCCCCCTGGGTGCCGCGCGGCCGCCGCGGGCGCGCCGCCGGCGCGCCGCCGTGGCGCCGCGGCTCGAGGGGCCGCCGTGAAGCGTTGGCGTGCTCGCGTCACAGGGTCGTGTAATTCCGACGCCCATTCCCATCCCCATTCCCATCCCCGACCCCCACCCCCATCCCCATCGCCGACCCCCTCCCCCATCCCCATTCCCATAGCAGATCCGCATGGAAGCACAGACGTGCTCGCGTCGCATGGTCGTGCCATGAACCGACCCTCGAAGAGGAAAGACGCCATGAACATAAACTTTTGGCGCTCCGCGCGGGTTTCTTGGACTCGTGCTGGGCCCCAGGCGGCGCCTCTGGCGTTGCCCCTGGCGCGCTCCGCGCGCCAGGCGCCAGGGAGGGGGGTCCAGCGCAGATCCAAGGCATCCGTGTGGACCGTCGACAGTTTTTGCTTCTGCAGCTTTTTCTTCTTCCAGACCCCCATCCCCACATCCCCATCCAGACCCCACCATCTCAGCACCCCAGCGGGGGATGCACCCCTCGAAGCCCGAAGGAAGCAGCCCATGTCCGCATCTAAGGGGGTAAGGTCGGCCAGTCCAGGCCACGCCCATGGGGATAGGGGTCGGTTAGACGATGCGACTCAGCCGCGCGCAGAGGGGGTAGGGGGAGGGGGAAGGCTTCTTAGAATCACCCTGCTTCTTAGAAGGCGCGGGCCTCATCTACAGATGTAGGGCCGCTGCCTTCTAAGAAGCAACCTCCTTCTAAGAAGCCTTCCCCCCTGCCCCTACCCCCTTGTGCGCGCCGCCAACAGACGTGCTCGTGTCGTGAAGTCCGCGGGCGACCTGTATGCACCGTACCGTGTTGGCGTCTCCCGAGGCGTCGATGATCGTCGACAAAGGAATGCACGGTGCATCGCTTTTCGGCCCTCAGAGCTGAAAAGCTACATGCATCGTACCGCGCTGTGGCGAGGCCTGAAGTGAGTCCGGGCATTGTACGGTGCATGGGCTCCCTTGTCGTATGCTAACTCACGACGGAAGGTTTCTGAAAGTTTTGAGCTCGTTGGCCCTCGCCAGGCCTGGGTACGGTCAGCAATCGGGTCGGGGTGAGACGCTGGCCCTGGGGAAGTGGGCCCCATGAAGGGAAGCCCAGATATGCTCGCGTCGTAACGAGGTCACGCCGGGAGATTTTCTTTGCTGCTTTAGGCTCTTGGGGGCCTTGGGGCCGTCGCAAAACAGCTCGGGACGAAAAGCCGGACCTTGGGAAAGGGGTCGGGGTCTCCAGGCGCGTATGAAACACATCAAGACATCGCATGCCTGGAAGCGGGCCCAGCAGGTGTTTCGCCGTTCCTGGGCCGCCCTGGGCCCCAGGGGCGCCAGCAGAAACGCGCCAGGGTGAAGAGCTTGTGGGGGTGGGTGGGCCCAGAGCCCAGGACCCGTTGCCCTCATGGAGGCCCCCTCTCCTTCGTCGTGCCCATGGCTCTCTCCTCCTCCTGCTTCTCCTCCTCCTTCTCCTCCTTCGCCTCCGCCTCCTCCTTCTGCTCCTCCTCCGTTTTGCTTTAAATCGACTTGAGCAAGAAGCTGAGATCAGGAACAATCAAGTCAAGTGCAATAACGACTCGGTTCAAGAAAAACTGGCGGGCGCCGCGGAAGACGTGAAAGCAAGAGCCCAGGAAAAGAATTGGAGTGAGAGTAGGTGCCCGCCAGGTGTGACGACACTCACCTTAGCAGGAACCCGCCTCTACCATCACCACCCCTGGTATACATAAGTAAGAACGTTAAGATTAATGGTGAGTGCCGTCGCGGCTCAGCAGTGAAAGTGAGCCAGGCAATACAATTCTTGGGCTGCTACCCTTGTACCGTATGTCCATCCCCCCCCATCCCGATGCATAACCCAGTCACCCCAAGTCAATTTTTGCATCGGCTTATGAGCATGCAAAGGTCGAGTGCAATTCTTGGGCTGCTACCCTGAGATTCAACGTAAGACGTGCTGCTGTGATGTAGCAGGCCAATAAAGAATAAGTGAGGTCAGTGCTGCCAGCAACGTGTGCATTTATTGGGCTGCTACCCTGTTTGTAATTCCAGGGCTGCTGCCCTTGGTAGAGAGGACGGGAGGAACAATGATGAAGATAAGAGAGTAGTGCAGTGGTGCAAGGCGTATGTCTGTATCACAAGGTTGACCCCAAACTAGCACAATGACGTGTGCTGCTGTGGAGCAGGCAAACATAACGAGCAATGTTTGGGCTGCTACCCTGAGGCTACAAGTAACATAAGTGCTGCTATTATGTAGCATGCAAGGGTGAATTCGGCTGGCCTGAGTAGGTTGGTCTGTGAGTTGGCGTACAGATGCTTGGTACAATAACAATTCTTGGGCTGCTACCCGTGTTTTTTTCTAATCCTCTGGGGGCCCCCTTCACCGTTCCAGTTCCAGGGGGTCCGGGGTCCCCCGTCACTGTTGCCACCAGTGTGGCGTTGCTCCCCCCCCTGAGCGCAAGGTGTGTTGTAGCAAAAGCGGGCACGAGGGCAGGCTGCTCACGTGTCCACGACTGTTGTACAGAAAAAGGGTGGCTAGACGGTATGCAATTCCCGCGTTTCTACCTTTGGTGAGGGGGATGTAAGCTTCAAATCATAGAGGAGGAGTGGCTGATCGATCATGAGAGTAGCCTCCAGAGTTTGAAGTACACGCGGCATTAAGCAGACAGTGTGTAATTCTTGGGCAGCCACCCTAAAAGACCAAGCGTAGGAGAAAAGTGAGTGCGACGCATGATACAGGCAGTGTGCAATTCTTGGGCTGCTACCCGTGGAGAGTTAGCTTGAGGAGGCCGTGTGAAGCAAGCAGCAACGGCGGGGACGAAGTGAGGGAGTAGGGCCTTGGGCAACCGAAGGAGACGAGTACCGAAACCCTATGCATCCAGGGTATGTGCAGGGTGTCGGTCGTCCTCAGCAGTCGGTCGGGTACGGCCCCCTAGGGGGGAGGGGGTCCAAGCTAAGTAGCTTGGTAGGTCAGCCGACCTGTTCAAACAGGGGTAAGGTAGGAGAAGAACGTGGAAGACGAGACGACAGCAGGAGTGTATGCTGGCCTGTGTAGGCTGGCCTGTTGAACGTGTACGGTGTGCTGCATATGCTTTGGATGCTGTCGTTCAAGTGTCGGTGCTGACATCGAGACCTGCTGCCAAAATGTGCGCGGGCAGTGGTCAATTCTTGTGCTGCTACCCTTTGAGAGTATGTCTCATCCGACTCCAGTAACCCCCTCCTCCCCACGACGATTCTGTGCATAGGCTGTATAGCCAATATGAGTAGAGTAACGACGCAAGGTGCAAGCAAATTGCAATTCTTGGGCTACTACCCTCAACTAAATGTAAGAGAGAGACATGGTGCCCTGAGTCGCTTGAGAAAAAAACTGCTGTAGTGCACGCGAGGCTGTCCTTTTGAGTGCTGTCACCATCGTGCTGTGGAGCAGGCAAAGATAGTGAGCACTTTTTGGCCTGCCACCCTTGAACAAACAAAAAGAAAGGTGGCTACCTGTATGCAATTCTTGGGCTGCTACTCTTGGCGAGGGGAGAGGTAGGCCTCAAACGTGCTGGTACAGGTGGAGAGAGGTGAGGCGCACCTTGACACTGGGGTCAAAAGAAAGGGTAGAAGTGCTGCTGTGGAGCAGGTCGATATTGGTGCGCAAGCTGTACCGGTGCGAACATCAGAGCATGTATGCGTCCGAAAGAAAGTGGGGTCACATCCTGGATTGGGACCCCAAAGGTACACTGGGCAAAGTGTGCCAGCCGTGCTTGTGCATCAGTACTGGCTGCGCTTACTGGGATTGTGAAACGAAAGGAGGGCTTCCTGTATGACAGGGACCCTCAAAGTCTGGACTAGCAATTCTTGGGCTACTACCCAGGGTTTTACGGTTTACCCGAGAGATCCCGAGCAGCCACCAGGCGTGTCAAAATGGCAGGAGAAGGGATGTCAGCATCAGTGAGAGACAGGGGGTGTCAACCACGATGCATGCGTAAAACTGTCTTGTCAGGGTTACATACCAGAGAGGGGAGGTCAGTAGACGATGTTCTGCGGTAGTCGACGTACTGCAGGTGCTTGTGGTGGATGTCGTGGTATGCTGCTGGGAGCATGGGACTTCTCTCTCGGTCAGTGAGTGCTCAGTCTGCTCCGCGGTCGCCAGCTTCGTAGCTCTTCGGCTTGGGCTTGGGCGGTGCCTTGTAGAGTCGCACCATCGCCTTGGGTGGATGCTCTTTGTAGGGTACTTTGGTAGTTAGTAATTGTGGAGGCTGTCGAGGAAGCGCTCGTATAGTGTCCGGTGTGCGCGGAGTCCGTCGATGTAACTGTAGAAGCTTGAGTGTCCTGTGTTGTGCACGAAGATGATGCGGCGGGTGCAGATGAGGATGTGCTGGTCTTCCCGTCTCGCTGCCGTGTTGTGTGCTGCGATCACATGGGCTGCATGGGTTAGGAAGTAGGCTTGTAATGTGGCGTATGTCTGGGGTGCCATGGTGTTTTGCGGAGCCTCCTGTATCCAGCTCTGTACCATCATTTCTTCGGGTGGTGGGCAGATGATTGGTATCTGAAGTACAGGTGGTGGTGGGCGTGCTGGTATGGCGAGT